ATGTGCGTCCTTTGTGAGGGAAAAAAAATAATAAATTGTTATTGCAACTACTTATAGTTGCTACTGGAATTCTATGCCAGGCCACAAAGTGAAAGAGAACATGACATGAGACTTCTAAAATGGTAGTGTGAAAGCTCCACTCTCTTCCCCCAACAAAACTACTTATGGAAAATATTTTAAAAACCACCACTTAAAGACTGAAAGTTTTCTCAAAGCAGTCAGCATATGAAGAAAGTTTATTCAAGAAAATCTACTACTTCTGGGTAAGAATAGAGAGTGTGTGGTTCAAGACATAGACCTATTTCTTCTTTCATTCTGCGCCTGGCTAGCTCAGTGTGACAGAACCTCTACTTGGGATAAGTATGGCTAAAAATAGATGGCTCTCTCTCACCTAACCTCCCGATGGAAGCAGCCCAGTGCCAATATTTCCCATGCCACTCAACACCAGACAACTGAGGTCTAGGAGGTTGAAGTACCTGTAGGGAAGAAGATCTAATTCTACACAAGACAGGCTGAGAATTCTGGGGCCTTGATACACCTCATACATACAACAATTTTACTATGCTAAGAAAGGCAAAAAGATCAGGCCAGAGTTTTCTACTACCCCCATGCAGAACCTTGGTGATGAAATAGGGTGTCGCTCCAAGAGAAACAGTACACTGTGCCCATCCACAACTCTACAGCAATGATGCTGACTTCACAGGAGGAGAGAAAAGGTCTAGTAATAGAGTTATGAAACTCTTTCCAAGGAATTTCATTTTATTTGGGGAAAATGTGATTAAGTTTTAGGTTAAGTGCACTCTCAAAAAAAAAAAAAAAAAGAAACAAAATAAAACACCAGAAAACAGATTATCATGGTAAGTGATTAAGAGGAGACCAGTAGCTACAGGCTACAGGAGAGCAAAAAGGTGAAGTGCAGTGCAGGTAGTTTACCAGAGAAAACCAGGAAGAGATAAATAACAAGGACAGAGTCCTCCCAGGATCACAGAAACTTCTAATTTTAATCTGAAAAGCTACCCTTTACAGGGGCCAGATAGTGGCAGCAGTAACACAAAGCCCTGTAATGCTAAATTCATAGAGGGAGGTCCCAGGTTCTAATCTAGAGGCCTTCCTACCCATATCTGATGTATATGTGCCAGGGTGAGAGAGGCTGAGCGTGGGTCACAATGTAAGTTTCCTGTCAGTACTTCTCTCTCTCAAAATAAACTTTTAAAATGACTGCTACAAAGGAACCAGAATTAAATTGAACTGTAGGATATTTTTTTGTCCTAGACATTATGGAGAAAAAAGTGGTGCAATTCTCAAAAAATAAGTACAGCTTAACAGTTAAGTGTGATACTAACAGACAGTAAAAACAGATTAGGGAATGCAACAAAGAGCACCCTGCTAAAACCACTGTCACCTCAGGGTGCCTACGTATATGCAAACCCTCTGAAAAGTAACATCAGAACTTCTTTCCCTGGGAGAAAAAGAAACACTTAAATAAGTCAGCCAAGTGACAAATAAGCAAACAGATCTTGGGAAGGTAGGAGAAAGAGAGTACATATCTAGAACTTGATAAAATATATTATCTAACTATTCCATTTTTAACCAAAAAGTCATAAGACATGTGTCCAAAAAGTGGGGCAGGGAGAGAACATGGAACAGACACTATTTATAAGAGAGCTTAAATATCAAATTAGCAGATAAAGACTTCAACCAGCTATTATAAATACGTACAAAGAACTAAAGAAAATCATGCTTAAAGAAGTATGATGGCAATGTTAGTAATTATGAAGACACTTTAGAGAATGGAAATTAGTGGAGCTCAATAGGTTTGAACTGGAGAAGAATCACCGAACCTCAAGTTAGATCAATAGAGATAATGTACTCCAAAGAACATGGGATGGAGGGAGAAAAATGAACTAAGTCTCAGAGACTGTAGGTAGAAATCACATAAGCAACTTCGTATTGGGAATACCAAAAAAAAGAAGAAGAAATAAATTATAACTGAAAACACCCCTAAGTTAAGTAAAAGTATTAGTCTGCACATTTACCATTCAAATTCAAACTGCAAGAATAATAAGCACAAAGAAACACACATGTAGGTGCATTATAATAAGAATTCCAAAAGCCAAAGTAAAGGAGAAATAATCTTGAAAGCAGCAAGAAAAAAATAAGTTATCATTAAGAGAGAACCAATAAGATTTATGAAGGACTTCAAAAGAACAATGGTAGCTATAAGGCAGTGGCCTGTCAAAACTGCTGAAATGAAAAATAAAAAAAAAATTATATCCAAGGGGGGAAAAAAAAACAGAAAAAACTAACATTTCAAAAAAGAATGTGGGGAACCAGCAGTTAGCGTAATGGCTATGTTGCTGGACTCCCGGACCTGGTGGCTTAAAACTCACGCTGGACGCGTGTTCGTGCGAGCCCAAGATCCCAAGAGGAGAATGGAGGAGAAGGGATTGCGGCGTGGCCATCCCCCCTGGGGGGTGATTTCTCGCTTTCTGTCTCTATGTCTCTCTCTGTCTGTCTGGCGAGTGCACGTGCCCTATAGCGAAAACCTGTCCAAAAAAAAAAAAGTGAAGTAACACAGAAAACAATCTGAGAAATTTTTGAGTCATCTTGCAAAAATACATTAACACATGTTCTTCAACCTAAAAGAAATCAACCCAAGAGAGTAATTCCAATCTACATTGTAGGGGAAGAAAAGGAAAAATATATATATCTATAAAGCCTATAAAGGTAATAAGTAATTATAAGAGTCAGTATCTGTAAAGGTAATACATAATTATAAAAGTCAGTATTGATCCATGTGAGGGGACTTCTAAAAGTTCATTAAAAATGCATATTACAAAGAAACTACATATTTTTAATTTTTTGCACCAAAAGAAACTTGTACTTTAATTCCATTTGTCCACAGACCTTTTGAAGTATATGCATATTTATCCCTTCTTACAGTAATTGACTTAAATGTAATTATATTTGACAAAAACAGCAAAGGTGGATAGAAACAAAAGTTTCTGAAGTAGTAAAGCAGTTGCAGATGGCAACTTGAATCCAAAGAAACAAATGAACTAAAAATGACAAAGAATAAAGTTAACATAGCAAAAATTTTTGGGATGCTGCTAAAGCAGTTCTTAGAGGAAAATGTATAACTATAAATGCCTACATAAAAACAATTCAAGTCAGAAACATACCTTTTCATCTTAGGACACTGGAAAATGTCCTTTAGTTAAAGCACACATTGGGAGT